CCTGCAAGATTGTATGCTGAGATTAATAGGAACATGGATGACGAGAAGATAAGTTAGATTTAGGCGTACTAGGAGGATGGATACAGATATGTTACCTGATGAGCTAGCAAGCTTGTCACAAGGCACGCGGCGCGCGACGCTGCGCTGGTAAGAATCATATCACCCAGCGCTCGAGTTGTCGAGCAAGGACAGACGTCAAGGCCTCTGCACGGCGCTCGTGAGCGATTTCGGGGGTTCATTGAATGGCAGCGGCGTGCGTTTGAGCTGGCGCGAGGAAAACGAGGCCATGGCGAAACGTCTTATCCATGTCTGCGCTCTCACCAGGGGTAGCCACACCCGCTGCGCAAAACTCGGCGTCGCGCCGCACCAGACCCAGAACTCGAGCGCCGTAATGCCGCCCTGGGGCCATGTCGCGCCGAACGCCCCTTGGCAGGGGGTGCAACGCAGGCGGTGACAGTGGGAGTGCATCGGAGAGGCGAAGGGTTGGTGCGAAGAGGGCGGAGTGGTTTCACAGTTGGGTGTAAGGACTATCGAGGAAGCGAGTTTGGAGCAGCGAATGGAGGCAGGGGCCAGCAGGGCGAGGCGGGGGCGATGGGGGTGCTGGTTTCTGTAACGGGGGTAGGGCGGGAACTGTGAAGGGGAGGGCGGATGCGGGGGGCGGAAGCTGCGTGGGGGCGGGAGCGGGGGCGGAGCGGGGGCGGAGCGGGGATGTGACGGAGCCGTGGGCGGAAGCGGGGGCAGGAGCGGGGCTGGGAGCGGGGGCGGGAGCGGGCGGAGCGGAGCGGGGGCGGAGCGGGGCCGGAGCGGGGGCGCGTAGCGGGGGGCGGAGCGGGGGGCGGAAGCGGGGGCGGAGCGGGGGCGGAGCCGGTGGGCGGTAAGGGGGGGCGGAGGGCGGGGGCCGGGGAGCGGGGGCGGGAGCGGACGGGGCGGAGGGGGGTGGAGCGGGGTAGCGAAGGGGCGGAGGCGGGAGCGGAGCGGGGCGGGCGGAGGGCGGACGGGCGGCGGCGGAGCGGGGGGCGGAGCGGGGCGGGGCGGGGGCGGAGGCGGGGGGGCGGACGAGCGGGGGCGGAGCCGGGGGGCGGAGCGGGGGCGGAGCGGGGGCGGAAGCGGGGGGCGCGAGCGGGGGCTGGATGGCGCGGGGGCGTGAGCGGGGGCCGGTTGTAGGCGCGGGGCGGGTAGGCGGGGCCGGAGCGGCGGGCGCGAGCGGTGGGCTGGCGGAGCGGGGCGAGCGGGGTGCGGGAGCGGGCGGTGCAGAGTCGGGGGTGGGCAGGAGTGCGCGGGGGGGCGGGAGGTCGGGGGCGGGAGTCGGGGGCCGAAGCGTGGGGCGAGGCGGGGGCCGGAGCGGTGGGGCGGAGGCGGGGGCGGAGCGGGGGGCGGAGCGTGGGGCGGAGGCGAGCGGGGCGAGAGGCGGGGGCGGGAGCGGCGGGCCGCGGAAGGGCGAAGGGGCGGAGCGGGGGCCGAGCGGGGGGCGGAGTCGGGTGGCCAGGGCGGGGGGCGGGCGTCGGGGGCGGAGCGGGGGCCGAAGCGGGGGGCCGGAGCGGGGGCCGGGAAGCGGGGGCCGAGGGCGGTGGGCCGAACAGCGAGGGGGGCGGAGCGCGGGGGCGGAGCGGGGGCGGAAGGCAGGGGGGGGAGACGACGGAGCGGGGGCGGTGTGCGGGTAGGCGGGGGGGCGGAGCCGGGGAGGGAAGGCGGGGGCGGAGCCGGGGGCGGGCGAGCGGGGGCGGGAGGCGGGGCGCGGAGCGGGGGGCGGAGCGGGGGGCGGAGCGGGGGCGGAGCGGGGGCGGGAGGCGGGGGGCGGAGCGGGGGCCGAGCGGGGGCGGCAGCGGGGGGCGGGGCGGGGGCGGGGCGGGGGGCCGGAGCGGGGGCCAAGCGGGGCTCGAAGCGGGGGCCGAGCGCGCGCGTGGGGCCGAGCGGGGGCGGAGCGGGGGCGGAGCGGGGGCGGAGCGGGGGCGGAGGGGGGGCGGAGACGGGGGCAGGTGAGCGGGGGCGGAGCGTGGGGCGGAGCGGGGGCGGGAGCGGGGGCGGGCGGAGCGGGGGCGGAGCGGGGGCGGGAGCGGGGGCGGAGCGGGGGCGGAGCGGGGCCGAGCGGGGGCTGGAGCGGGGGTGCGGGGGGCGGGGGCGGGGGCGGGGGGGCCGGAGCGGGGGGCCAAGCGGGGGCACCGAGCCGGGGGCCCGACGCGGGGGCCTGAGCGGGGGGCCGGGAGCGGGGGCGGAGCGGGGTGGCGGAGCGGGGGCGGAGCGGGGGCGGAGCCGGGGGCGGAGGCGGGGGGCGGAGCGGGGGCGCGCGGGAGCGGGGCGGGAGCGGGGCGGAGCGGGGCGGAGAGCGGGGGCGGAGGGGGATGCGGAGCGGGGGCGGAGCGGGGGCGGAGCGGGGCGGCGGCGGGGCGGAGCGGGGGTCGGAGCGGGGCGGAGCGGGGAGACGGGGCAGGGGGGGGCAGGGGCGGGGCAGGGGCGGGGCGCAGGGGCGGCGGCAGGGGCGGGGCAGGGGCGGGGCAGGCGGCGGGGCAGGGGCCGGGAGGCAGGGGCGGGGCAAGGGGCGGGGCAGGGGTCGGGGCAGGGGCGGGGCAGGGGCGGGTGTTGGGACGGGGATTGGAGGGGGTAGCGAGCAGTCGTGGGGGCGACACGGGATGCCAGTCCGAAGTCTGCTGCGAGCAATGGAGCGAGGCGGCGAGCCGAGGGGCCGCGTGGAGCAGACCACGGGCGAGCAAGGGCGGAGGGGGGCGGCGGGCGACGGGGGGGGGGGGGGGCGGGT